ACCACCTGATCAACTTGACTACTTCTTCCTCTTATTTCCCCTCCTCTTCTTATTTTTAATTGATAAATCACAATTTTATACCTTTATGGGGTACCATGTGATATTTATTATGTATATACATAAGCACACAAAATGTGGGATGATTAAATCAAGCTAATTAACATATCCATCACCTCACTTATTTATCACTTTTTGTGGTAAGATGTGAAGTCTACTCTCTTATTTTGAAATATGCAATACATTATTGACTGCAGTCATCCTCTGTTCAACAGATCTCAAAAATATATTCCTCCTGTTTATCTGAAACTTGTAGCCTTTGACCAACAACTCCCCATTCCCTCCTCCTGCTTCCCCCAGCCTCTGGTAACCATCATTCTACTGTCTACTTCATGAGCTCAGTTTCAGCTTGACTTTTTCATAGCACTTATTATCTGATGTTACACACTCTATATATATATACACATTCATATATATACATACACATATATACATATGTGTATATACATATACATATACACACATATATGTATGTATGTGTATATATACGTATATTCATATATGCATATATACACACCCATGTATATACATACACACACATATATATATATATGTATTTATTTGTTGTTTGTTTGGCTTGATTTTTTTTTAGAGACAAGGTCTCAATATGTTGCCAGGCTGATATCAAACTCCTGGCCTCAAGCAATCGTCCCACCTTGGCCTCCCAAAGTGCTGGAATTACAGATAAGAGCCACTGTGCCCAGCCTTGGCTTGCATTTTCTACCTCCTCCCCACTAGAATGTAAACTCCAAACAAATAAGAACTTTATATATTATATTCATTGCAGTATCTTCAGCACCTAGAATAGCAAATGGACAATACATATTTATTGAGATGAGATATTTTGATCTCAAACAACAGGAGCTCAATCTGGATGCCTGATGTGGCTATTGAGAATACCAGTTCTGCCATGGTGATATGAATTAGTGACTAGGGAGACTTAGGTGAGAATATATTGTTAGAACAGTGGTAATATCTTATTTTAATACTATAAGGTTTATAAAACCCTTTCACATACATAATCTCCTTTGATTCTCACTCTATCTCTGGCAATGCCAGCACAGCTGACTAGGAATTATTACCCCATTTTGAGAATGTATAAACTTTCTCAGACAGTAGAAGATATCTCGAAAATCATGCAGTGCTTGTGACCATCAGGCCAATGAGGATTATTTTGGAATTTCTATGGTGGGAGGCAGTGTTAGAACAGTGGTTTAGGGATACAAACTTTGGAAGCATGGAGATCTGGTTCTTATTCAGCCACTTACCAGCCAGACATTTACTTTTCCCCACCTGTAAAATGGGGCAATAGGATCAGTTGAAAGAACTTATGTACAGCTCTTAGCACTGTAAGTGCCTGGCATGTAGCAGTTGGCTGATCTATGTGCATATGGGTGTATCTGTTTTATTAGACACTAGGATGTTTTGGGGCAGCTAGTTCAGCCTGGTCTCCCTGCCATCATTTGGATTCCTGAGGGAATCACTAACCCAGAGGAGATTCTTATCTGTTCCATTCTAAGCCAAGGGGAGACCTCTCTTCAAAATAAGAGAGGATTCTGGAGTCTTCTTCCCAAATTGTGAACTGGAAGTCTCCAGGGCTATTCTGCATCATTTGAAGAGCCCTAGATGCCATTTCAGATGCCACACTACTCTGTACTCAAAAAATATTTCAAATAACTACCTCCCCAGTAAGTCTGTTATATGCAAGGCCATGTGTCTGATCCCTAAGGCCTAGATGCTGAGAAGTTACCTGTCCCCAGAACTCAAATCTTAGAGCACTTGTGCATCAGCATCGCTTGAAAGTTAAAAAAATCAGTGCTCAGGTGTCATCCCCAAAGATTTAGATTCATTTAGTTTAGCATAGAGATTCTCTATCTTTAGCATACATCAGATTCACCTGGAGGGCTTCTTGAAACAGATTTCTGGGGCCCCCAAATCCTCAGTTTCTGATTCATTCATTTTAAAGTGGGGCCTGAGAATTTGCATATTAAGTTAATTTGCATTTCAGGTGTTGCTGATGCTGCTGGTACCTGGACCACACTTTGAGAACCATTTGAATAGAGAAGGAGTACCCTAATAGCCTAACAAAATTAATCCATCATCTCTGAATGATGATCAATTATATTAGTAAGTTCCTGAGCCATCCACTTTCTTCTTTTGAACAGACATTAAATCACTATAAAATTATTCCTGAAGCTACCTGTTATTCTTTGCCAAATGTCTAGACAGTTTATCCATGTTGGGATAATGGGCCTCTCCCAGATAATGGCTCATCTTCCCTGTCATTTGCTCTTTAACAATGTAGCACCTTTGATTGCACTGCAACTTAACCATCTGAGCTTCTGCAATTCCATCCCATTTATATCTGTAGAAAATTATTTTTGGTCATAGGTTAGTGCAAAATAAAACTCTTAATTTGGATCTCTCTTCCCAGGAAGATCTGGGTTTAGACTAGGCAGCCAGTGGTTAAAGACAAAGAGTGCTGATCCAGGAGGTTTATCAGTCAGAAGTAAGAATGAATAGGAAGGTGTGCCTTTAGTTGGAGGTCACACTTGAGAATTCTACAGAGCAATTTTAAGAACAATCAGAAATCTGAAGGTTATCTCCCACAGCTTTCTGGAGCTTTGGCCCATGGTAGACAGGTAAAATCTGTGGCTATCAGAAGGCAGGTGTGGTTCTCCAGGCTAGACTGGCTGTTCAACCCCTACCTACTAGAATTTAAAAGGATGTTTCCTATTGCTGCCCAGATTCCTTTATGATAGAGAACAGCTAGGATGGACGTCTTCTATAGCACATGAGAGGACCTGGGGGAGACTGAGGACTGAGGATCAAGTCTCTCTGTTTCTTTTGCATCAATGCAGTGATGGAGGCAGAGGCATTAAAAAAAAAAAGAAAAAAAAAAAAAAAACTTTGGACCGTACTAACTGTTAAATAGAGGCTTAAGGCAAAAGCTCTTACATGTATGTGGGTAATGAGTAAAAGATGCAGCTGCAACTAATTAGGTAATACCATATTTAGAAGAAAAGAAGACTTGGTTTTGGAGCTTTGTATGATACATAGAAATATACTTGACATCCATAATGTATCAAGACAAAAATAGATATACTTTTATCATAGAACTGCAAAAAAATCACTTTATGCATAAATTCTCAAAACTTTCTCTCCCTGTCACTGCTTAGATTTAATCAATGTATAAACTAATTATGTTTACTTCTTCTTAATCCTGCCTTTATCTACGACTCTGAAAAAGAACAAAATATTATCTTTGGTAGCAAGAATAAGAAAGAACATCAGAAGCTCCTACATGTTTTCCATTGCTTAGTTCTTATCTCTCTTGGCTTACCCGGTGTTGCCTCTCACAGCTGTATTCAATCAGTGCTCGTAGCCAGGAAATGCTCTGTTCACCTCTTCTCCTCCATAAGAGAGACTCTTCACTGTCTTCTTCCTTTTTCAGATAAACACTCAGCAGGCCAGTTCCCCCTCCATACATGTGGTAGAAAAAGGTCAAGCAGTGTTTTCCAGAGACTCCTCGCAGAGGCCTGGACAAGAGGCGTGCTTTTTGTCCATACACCATGTGGGAGGCCTCAATGTACATGTAGTAGCCTTGAGGTGAATGCAAAAGCAGGTATTGTTAAAAAGGACACAAATTACATTTTCTCCTTCCATAGTGTTCTTTCAGAGTGTCAAGTCAAGATGACCTGACAAAGTACTGATAAAGGGTTTTATAATTTTGAAGAATACATATTATCTAAGGAAAATAAGTTACAAAAATGAGACCAGCAAAATGATTTCTTAAATGATTTATAATTCAGTTTAATTTGTATCTTGTATAGAGGTAATTAATATACCAGTATTATGCCACTGATACAGTGGTTAACACATCAGAATTTATATTACTCATTCATGGACAATATTCTAAAGCTTCCAGACGTTGGTTTGGAGAGAGAGAGAGAGAATGGGTTTTGTAGTCAGGTAGATCTGGGTTCAAGTCTTGACTCTAATATTTGTTGTCTATGTGATTCTGGTCTAATGAATAATCTCTGAACTTACATTCATCTTTTTAAGATAAGGGTTAATACCTGTGCTACAGAATTGTATTAACATAATGACATACACTCACATGTCATGCATATTCCATTATTTGTTTCCTGTCCTGCTCAGTTTCTAAAATGGTTCGTGTCACCTTTTTTTTAGTCTTGAAAACATATTCTGTAATATTCTAAAATTGCCTTTCCAATTTCCTTTTCTAATTTTATTTTATTGCTATTTTAAAATTTATTGGTTTCAGGCAGAAACAGGATTAGTCAGAATGAAGATAGGGCAGTGGTGTGCTGCAGCCAACTTCCATGGGCTTCCAATAGCCCATTGTATGCATCCTCTTTCAGCTCCAAGTGACTTCACATTGGTAGCCGGAAATGGACCATGATGGGACTATTTATACCACAGAAACTGGACATGTATACAAGTCAGCACATCCTTCCCAAAGAGAGCCAGTTGGTATTAAACAATCACTATCATGTCACTGAAGTAAAACTATATATGAATAGTAATGCAAGAGATCTTTTCTAGAGTACTTCACTGGTAATACAATTCTGTGCATCTGAGGCCCATTTTTAAAAAGGCCCTGAATTCTACATCAGTAGTTGTTAACCTTTGATCACTTGATGAAAAGTTTAGACCTCCGCTACTTGAAAAATATACAAAGAAAGTTTGCATACAACTTTGTTGCTTTGTTTGGTGTTACATATGTGTTTGGAATGAATGTATATGTCTCCCCAAATTCATATGTTGAAGCCCTAACCCTAGTGTGATAGTAATTGGAGATGGGGCACTGGGGAGCTAATTAGGGCTAAACGAGGTCATGAGGTTGAAGCTCTCCTGATGACAGTAGTGCCCTTATAAAAAGAGACACCAGGGAGCTTGTTCTCTCTCTCTCTCTTCAGGTGCACACACCAAGAAAGGCCATGTGAGCACGCAGCAAGATGTTGCCTGTCTGCAAGCTAGGAAAAGAGCCCTCACCAGGAACTAAAACAGCTGGCACGTTGATGTTGGACTTTACAGCCTCCACAACTGTGATAGGTAAATTTCTGTTGTTTAAACCACCTAGTCTATGATATTTTGTTATGGCAGCCCAAGCAAACACCAACGTTTTGCCAATTTTGATTTGTTTTTTACATATATGATGTAAAAAGTAATCTTTACAAAGTATCATATGTCTCATTATTTCATGCAGAAATTGGTGACCAAATCAACAGGAAAAATAAAGAGATCCCAAATAATACATGCAAATGAAATGGTTTCTTTATAGTTCGAAGTTTAATTGATGAATTCTAATCATTTCCAAAAATATGGCAATTGAGATATCCCAACAAGAATTGGTTGGAAGTCCCCTCTGTGTGCCTGAGAGGTCTTTCTCCATTCTCTTTTTCTTATTTCTACAAACACAAATCTGAGTTCTGTAGGCTTATTAAAACAGTGGGAGAAAGCATCATTGGTCTTAATAAATTGTGTGCACTATGCAACCCCTTCCCCCAGTGTTTTACTCTATAAAGTTTTCACCCTGCAAAACTGGGCTGACTCACAGGATGTGGCCTGCATCAACCAGTCACATCTAAGGAATGATGTTGCCCCAAAGAAGCAGAATCAGAGCAGAGTTCTGTATCTGTCACTTCAGGTTGCCTGTTATCAAGGCATGCTGCCACCAAAGGCTCCACTAGCTGGGGATTCCTGAATGCAGTGAACAAGTAGAAATCAAAACCTCCTTTAGGATACTCTAAAGACTACATGTATTTCAGCCCAGTTCAAAAGTAAATTTTAATTAGAAGGCTAATTGATTTAAATAAGAAATCAAAATTATGGGAGTATCTTTGATCTGGTATGTTACATTTGACATCCAGTCAACTTCAACTTTTCATCTCATTGGCAGTAGTTTCATCCAGATGCAGGCTTAAGGGAAATGGCATAGCTGCCAACTTTCCCATGATCTGCTTAAAAATAATAGCAAAAAAACCTGTCAGTGTTCTGGAGTGCTCACCAATGACATCCTCATTACGAAATCCAGTGGTCAGTTTTCAGTCTTTGTCATTTCTGTACCATCAGTAACATTGGACATAGTGGTTTACCACTTCAGAAAGTAGAATTACATTCTTACCTTGGCTTGCAAGACACTGTATTCTCCTGCCTTTTCTCCTCCCTCACTGGTCACTTTTTGCCAGTTCCACACTCTTTTCTGACCTCTTGACCCTGGAGTACCCCAAGGTCCAGTTTTTACTTCACTATTCTTACTACTTTGATGATCTCATCTTGTTTCAGGGCTTTAAATACCATATATGTTGTTATATCTCAGATTTAAATTTTCAACCTTTTTGCTGAAATCTAGACTCATTCAAACTGTCAAATCAGGTAGACATCTCACACTGAACATATTCGAAACTCAACTTCCTAACAGCCTGAAGTAGACTGAATGTTCAGTTGTTCACACCCAAAACCTGTGAGTTGCACACCACTACTCTCTTTCTCTGCTTCTCCACATCAGGGCTATCAGGAATTCCCATTGGCTCTACCTTTAAAATATATCCAGAACCCAGTCACTTCTCTTCTTATTGCCTCCACTACTATCATCCTGGTCCAGGCTGCTATCATTTCTCGCTTGGATTAATGCAACAGCTTCCCAACTACTCTGTCTGCTTCTAGTCTGGTCCCCTGCAATCTCATCTCAAAACTGTATTCATAGTGCTCCTTCTAAAGCAAAAGCAAAATTGTAACCACTCATTTAAATCCTTCCTTTGGCTCAGCATTTCAGAGTAAAAGCTGAAGTCCTTACAATTAGCTTTAGAATCCTATATAATCTCCCACCTATTCTCTTACCTCTCTCATTCCTACTGGCTTTCTCCTCACTCACTGTGTTGCTTGGCCACACTGACCTTTGTATTATTCCTGGAATATGGCAGGTATGCTGCTGCCTCAAGGCCTTTGTGTGTGCTAACCCTGGGTCTTCCTCTAGATATTCTCAGGTCTCACTCTTTTACCTCCTTTAAGTCTTTGCTCAGATGTTACCTTTTCTATTAGACCTGTTTTGACTATACTATTCCAAATTGCAATCCCTTTTCCCTGGCACTCCTCATTCCCTATACCCTAATTTAATATGTTTTCCATAGTTAACTGCCTCTTAATATACTGTATAATTTTCTTATTTTTATGTTTGCCTGTCTCTTTCCTTTAGAATTCACAAGGGCAGAGATTTTTTTCTTGTTTAGTTCACTGCCACGTTCCCAGGTCCTATAACAGTGCTTGGAACATAGCAGATGCTCATTAATATCTGTTGAATGGATGAATGAATGCATTTTTTTCCCCACAGCTCTAAGCACAAACCAATTTGACCATTTCTAGGGCACATGGCTCCACCACAGTCACTCCAAATGTGGGAAGTTCTTGGCAATGAGATATTCACTTGACTATGATGCTTCAAGACAAACTAGAGCAAATCCAAGTTGTGGTAAAATTAAAGTCTTATCAAAGCAAATCATCTCGAACAAGTTCTACACTATCAGAAGTATTTTTAAAATGAACACATAAGATACTTCTTTGAGTTCATTACCTTCATTCTTTCACTGGTAAGCAAATTGGTCCACAAGAAGCACGGGTTTTTGCACATTCAGTGATGAAAGGAACCTTCTTTTTTTGTACATATTTTCTTTAACATTTTCTAACTTAAGTTAGGTCAGTGTAAACAATAATACAGATATACATAATCCTAACAGAAGGGTGTGTCTAATTTAATTCCATGGAGAGAGAGATCAAGGCATGAAAATGACCATGGTATATCACTTAGCTATGTACAAAGGAATCCCATGCTATCCTACACATAAGTTAGTAGCATGGTAGATGGAAACAATACCCTAATACATTTAACTTAAAAAACATTTCCTCCCAAAAGTCATTTTTAAGATAAGAAAAAAATTTTCACACCTGGCTTTGGAGCTCTGAAAAGGCCCACTTGAATCCCAGGTAAAGGACCTTAGCTATAGATGAACTTCTCAATAGCGGGGAAAAGCTCCTCTGAAGATGCTGTCACTGGGGAACTGGAAAGTAGAGACTAAGGGCCCTGAAACATGAAGTCTTTTCAAAATGGAAGGGAAGCAATGAATTAAACATGAGAGAGATGACCTAAGAATTGTCTTTTGTTTAGGGATGATGGTTGTGCATTCCTACTGGTAACAGTTACAAGTCTTGACCAGGATTATTCTGAGATTCTGGAAGAGAGAAAAACTCTTAATTATCCCCAGGATCATTTAATTGACTTCTTTCTTTCATGGGCACAATGGACTAATTCATTTACTTTGTGAGGGTTAAGCACTAGTCTGGTTGCCCAGTTCTTCCCAACAGGTTGGGACTCTAACTAAATCAGGGATGGCCTGCATAGCCTCCTCTAACCATCTGTTCTTTGGAGCACACATACCTCTACAGATGTGACTCCTGAAATCTACTATGCTTTCAGTTTATGCACCTCTGGGCTGCAGGTATCAGGCTGAAACTATTCACTAAGGTTTCCAGTTCCAGAAACCTTTGTATTTAGTACCATAAAATATGAGGAGGAGGTTCCAAGATGGCCAAACTGTTCCAGTCTACAGCTCCCAGCGTGAGCGACACGGAAGACGGGAGACTTCTGCATTTCCAACTGAGGTACCGGGTTCATCTCACTGGGGCTTGTTGGACAGTGGGTACAGCCCATGGAGTGTGAGCCGAAGTAGGGCGGGGCATCATCTCACCTGGGAAGTGCAAGGGGTCAGAGAATTCCCTTTCCTAGCCTAGGGAAGCCGTAACAGACGGTACCTGGAAAATCAGGACACTCCCACCCTAATACTGCGCTTTTCCAACAGTCTTAGCAAATGGCACACTAGGAGATTATATCCCGCCCCTGGCTTGGAGGGTCCCACAGCCACAGAGCCTCCCTCACTGCTAACACAGCAGTCTGAGATTGAACCAATAGGCAGCAGCGGGGCTGGGGGAGGGGCATCCACCATTGCTGAGGCTTGAGTAGGTAAACAAAGCAGCCAGGAAGTTCGAACTGGGTAGAGCCCACTGCAGCTCAAGGAGGGCTGCCTGCCTGCCTCTGTAGACTCCACCTCTGGGGGCAGGGCATAGCTGAACAAAGGCAGCAGAAACTTCTGCAGACTTAAACGTCCCTGACAGCTTTGAAGAGATAGTGGTTCTCCCAGCACGGAGTTTGAGATCTGAGAATGGACAGACTGCCTCCTCAAGTGGGTCCCTGACCCCTGAGTAGCGTAACTGGGAGATACCTCCCAGTAGGGGCCGACTGACACCTCATACAGCTGGGTGCCCCTCTGAGACAAAGCTTCCAGAGGAAGACTCAGGCAGCAACATCTGTCGTTCCGCAGTTTTGCTGTTCTGCAGCCTCTGCTGGTGATACCCAGGCAAACAGTCTGGAGTGTACCTCCAGCAAACTCCAACAGACCTGCAGCTGAGGATTCTGACTGTTAGAAGGAAAACTAGCAAACAGAAAGGACATCCACACCAAAACCCCATCTGTACATTACCAGCAAAGACCAAAGGTAGATAAAACCACAAAGATGAGGAGAAAACAGAGCAGAAAAGCTGAAAATTCTAAAAATCAGAGCACCTCTTCTCCTCCAAAGGAATGCAGCTGCTCACCAGCAACGGCACAAAGCTGGACGGAGAATGACTTTGACGAGTTAAGAGAAGAGAGCTTCAGATGATCGGTAATAACAAACTTCTCCAAGCTAAAGGAGGATGTTCAAACCCATCGCAAAGAAGCTAAAAACCTTGAAAAAAGATAAGACGAATGGCTAACTAGAATAAACAGCATAGAGAAGACCTTAAGCGACCTGATGGAGCTGAAAACCATGGTACAGTAACTACGTGATGCATGCACAAGCTTCGGTAGCCGATTCGATCAAGTGGAAGAAAGGGTATCAGTGATTGAAGATCAAATGAATGAAATGAAGCGAGAAGAGAACTTTAGAGAAAAAAGAGTAAAAAGAAACAAACAAAGCTTCCAAGAATTATAGAACTATGTGAAAAGACCAAATCTACGTTTG